ACTGAGAAGGTTATGCAGTATATTAGAGAGAGAGTTCCCGAGCTCTTGGACGTGGTTGCCTGCACCGAAATATTTGATAGCAGTGGTGGGGGTGCTGCAAAAATGTGTAGTGAAATGGGTGTACCCTTTCTCGGGAAGGTCCCGCTAGATCCCCAGCTTTGTAAGGCTGCGGAGGAAGGTAGATCCTGCTTTGCTGATCAGAAATGTGGGGTAAGTGCTCCAGCTTTGAAAGGAATTATAGAGAAATTGGTGGGAAATCATTTGGAATCAAGAAAAGCCATGGATGAGTAAACGGTGAATAGCTTCACTGATCTTTGTGGATCATATTTTGGTTCTCTTCTGTTTATTTATCATGTTCTTATAAATCTACAATCACTTCTTTTAGGGAGCTTTTTTACTAGTTTGATCTCTTTTCTGCCATGAATCAATAGATGAAGAATAGATGAAAATTGCTCATGATCCAATTGCATAAATTATTTACCTTATGTATGTATTATACCTTTGTAAGAAGATTAAGGTAATGTTTGGAATTAAATTGCTTGAAGTCCAACTTTGACTGCATGAATTATATGTAGAATTTATTTAAAAATTTATATTTAATTTAACAGAGAGCCCATGAAAATTCTTGTAAAATTATTTCTAATATGTAATTAAAATATATTGTATTTACTTTAGATAATATATATATATATTTTTTACAGAAATTTGATTTTTATTTGATACAAAAAAATATATATTATATTGTATTTAATTTAATTAATATAATATTTTCAGTTCGGAAAGGAGTAACTCAAGCAACGCCATCCTTATCTTCTTCTAGCTAAAAGGCCAATCTTCGTAGGCCCAAGAGAGTCAAAACACACTTTCAAACAGGCAAACTTCTATGAGCTTCTCGTACTAAATCACAAATCCAACGGTTAAAAATATCCCACGTTATGCGGACCCCACTGCCACGTCATCCTCTCTCTCATCGCCACCTGACTCGCCACATAACATTTCCCCGCAAGCAAAACAGTCCATTCCCACTCTCTCCTCTCTCCTCCTAACCTTCGCTCCTCTCCTCCGGCAACGATATTATCACATGCAGTTCACGGAACCTTCTCCGACAGACCTATAAAAACCCCCCCTTTCCTCCATGTACTTACAGCCGGAGAAACCCCGGCCCCTTGACCTAGCCGCGACGGAGGAAGACGGAGAAATGATGCTCGAGGTCGTCACCAATGACGGCCTGCCACCTCACCACCACCCCGTCGTCATCGGCGGCGGTCCTCCCGGCGGAGGCGAGAGCAGCGGGAGCGAGGAGCTGGAGATCAAAGCCCCAAAGAAGCGGGCCGAGACTTGGGTCCAAGACGAGACACGGTGCCTGATAACGTTCCGGCGAGAGGTCGACGGACTGTTCAACACCTCGAAATCGAACAAGCATCTGTGGGAGCAGATATCGGCGAAGATGAGAGATAAAGGATTCGATCGGTCACCGACTATGTGTACAGACAAGTGGAGGAATCTTTTGAAGGAGTTTAAGAAAGCTAAGCATCATCGAGAGAGAATCAATGGCCGCGACGGTAGTTGTGGCTCCGTTAAGATGCTTTACTATAAGGAGCTTGAGGACTTGCTTTGTGATAGAACCAAGAATGCTATGAACAATGTTATTAATGCTATTTCGCCCTTCCCTGCAGCTCCAGCTACTACTCCAACTGCTGCGAATAGTTCGTATATCCACTTCTCCGATAAAGGTATATGTAAAATAATCTGTATGCGCATATAAAATTATGATGCTAAATTTTTCTTTCTTTCTGATTTGGTTGCTGAGTAGAGTAAGGGGAAAGAGAAGTAGATTTGAATTCCCTGATAGTTTCAGTTAGACACACACACACACACACATATACCTTGAATTTTTCCTTCTTTTCCGGATTGGTTGATGAAATTAGTCAGAGAAAAGAGATATAGATTTGAGCCCTCTGATGATTTTGAGTTCAGGTTATTTAGTATTGAACTCAAGTAATTATGGTGGGTTGTGTTGGGTACTGATACTAATAGCTTCCACTGAATGTTACTAGAATCTGTATATCATCCATTGGAATGTTGGTATTGGTTCTGATGAATGCTTCGTGTTCCCTTTCTCTAGGCCTTGAAGATGCTAATATTCCTTATGGATCAGCTGAAGGTAATGAAATTTCTTAAATATACTATTTGAACCACATGTAATTGTTGCTATGTAAGTGCTTATTATAACTTAGATTGTATTATTCTGCTAGTCTAGGATCTAAGGCTTGTTTGAGACCTTGGTATCGGAACTGTTAGTCTCTAGTTAACTACTTCGTGGAAAGGACTGTCTGTAAGGTGGAAGCAGTGAATCAGAAGTTATTTTCTATGAAGTCATTCTAAACATGGAGATAAGATTGGAAGTTAGCTTCATTTATAGTCCATTTGCAACACTAGCTCTTGGAATCTGATAACATGCTATTGGGTTGAAGAGAGCATGTCGAGAACAACGTCTTTTTCAGCTTTGTTTTCTTTCTACCTGACTATAAATTGGTATTGCAAAGAAGAGAATTAACTCTTGCACTCAGTCTTAACTTAAAGAGGACTTCCTGAATTAATAGCGGATTGCCAAGCAAGCTGCATTCTGATTTCTTTATGTGTTTGTGCTTTGGTACTTGATCAAACATATTTTCTAGTTTTTATTCAAGCAGCTTTTATGTAGTTGTTGTAGTGATTTGTTAAACTGCTGCCCCATTGTTGATGACCACACAGGCATAAGCATTTTGCACGATATCAATTAATGACCAAAAAACCTATGCTTATCTTGCTAATTCCACCATCTTGACCTAGAGTCTCTATCCAATACCCTAAAAGGAGCGATTTCAAGAACCTTATTTCTTTCACTCTAAGCTATGAAATCCAACGTTTTGTCCAGGAGATAACTTGGTGGTAAGAGATGTGTTTTGATGATTTTCTGAATTGAATTTATCTTACGGTTTAGTGATTTTGTTACAGCTGGTGATCGGTCAGCAGTGAACCTAGAAAGACAGTTGGATCACGAGAGTGACCCCCTTGCCCTTACCACCACTGATGCAGTTACAGCTGGTGGATTACCCCCTTGGAGTTGGAGAGAGACCCCAGGAAGTGGTAAGTCGTTGAGTGAAATTGCATGTCTGAACTTTTATTTGATTGATGGC